CTTAAGGAAACAGAGATAACGTAAGAGCATTTATCTCCTTTACCTCATTAATAACCCCAATTACTAAAAGTAATGGAAATGTCAAAAAATAAAAATGAGAAATTTAAGATGACAGTTTCTATTAAAAATATATTAGTAATTTTACTTAAAATAAACTTTAAAAACATTTCTAATTTTAAAAACTACTCCCTTGTTTTAAGTTGGATTTACTTACAAAGAAAAGAAAAAGCTTTTTCTAATATATTTTGTACAAAAAATAATCTTCACATTAAGCATCAATTATGCTTTTTATTTACTTCTTATTGAAGGCTGATTTTAGTGTATTAAAAGTACAAATGATGAGCTAATCAGATATTAAAACCACACTTGTTCTAATGCAGTCAAAATATTCATACTTTACAGAAAAAATTTACACGGACCTTACAAAATAATTTAAAGTATTACATTTACAAACAACAGAATGTAAGCACACTTTGAAAGTTGGGTCTATTTTAATTGAAATCTCATAAAAATGCAGAACCTTTTATTCTCACCAAACACTGAAATTTTCCCAGACATTTTATGACTAAGTCTTTAAAATTTTGTTTTACTATAAAGGGATATAGTCCTAAATAGAATCTCTAGTAAAGCTTTCAATAAATAATTGCTACATCTACATACAATAGAAATGGCATTAAATTAAAGACAGATATAAGATGTTGAAGTTAGTATTTCATATAATTAAGACTTAAAAGAATAATAGGAGCCAAATTTCCAGCTCATGACAGTTCAGGTGAGGACAGTCTGCACGAGCATCGCTGGAATGAGCCCAGGTGGCCCTGGCCACGGCATGCCTTCTCCTCTCAGCTGGCCTCCACTTCCAGCCTGTGCACCTGCAGAGTGCTCTGAGGGAACCAGATGGTTTTGTGCTTTAAGCTGCGATTCCTGAACTTAAACCTCACCCCCTTCTGCTCTAGGACAACTATATCACAGAGGATTTATTTTAATTTTCTCATTGGAATACTCTTTCAATAGAATTACACACATTCTCGTTAACTTTAAGCAATCTAATGCTTTATCATCAGTTAGGACTGGGGTTTTCCCCATGTCTGCCTGCTCCTGCCTTTTTCCCCCACCTTCTATTGTTAGCAGCAGCGTACTTCTTAGTAAGGGAAGTACAAACATAATAGGCAAGAAACATAATAGCTATGGAACATAAGCAATTTTTATAAAGGACTCTATTCTCTAAGAACCCCCTAAAATGAACATGGTTTCCGAATGTGCTTGACAAGGAACCTTCAAGAGGTAATGGCCTCTTAGGCAGCGCAGGTCCTACATAAGGACGCGGCGTGTCGGCTCAGAGCCATTAGTCAGCTGCTCTCAGGAAAGTCTGTCAGATCACATCTCCTGCTGGATGCTGTGTCGACTCTATTGTACATGAAATGTGTGAAGCTCCAAAACAGAACACAAGAATAAAAGTATGAACTTCCAAATCAAAGCCATGGGAAATAGGATTGGTTCACAAACAACACTGAATAACCAGTTTTTATGATTCTCTCAACAAAATAATAACCCCTTCCACTTCTACAGCAAATTCTTTCCCATCTCCTTTCACCTCCAGGGTGTCCCTGTGAAACAGAGACAGCATCCTGATCCCCTTTTCCAACGCCAGGACACTTGCCTCAAGTGTAAAATTTAACAGAGGACCAAAAATGTCAGTAATCAAGATAAGTAATTCTCTTAGTATTTAAAATATTTTAAAGTAGCAAAAGCAATGCGAAAAATTAAATCATGCACAAAAAAATCAAAATTTTAAACAAAGACAAGATCAGCGTCACTGACGTTTCCTTTGCCTCAGGCTCCCACATGGCTCAGCAGAGCATTCCTTTTCAAGAAGGAAACTGAGGCACGGACTGTTAATTCCACGTTCAAGGCAGTCAGGCTCGAGAAGGCAGAAGCAGGACCAAGCTGGCCCAGGCTCCTGGCTGATGGTCCAGTCAGTTTCCCTCAGTGAAGATCTCCTTTTTACAAGAGGAAACCTTGCTATGAGTTTGAGGAGGCTGATGCAAGCTCCCTGAAGTAATATCATTCTTAAATAACCTGCAGATGGGACTGAGCCAAACTCACAAGAAATAGACACTGATAGAAAAGCCAACAAAATATCTGAAACCAAATTTTTTTAAAGGGATACTTACTGATGGAAGAATAAGTGTCTTGAAAGAGCCTAAAAGGAGAACAGGGAAGAAAACAGAGTCATAATTCGAATAAGATGACATTAATACAAAACTCTTAATACTCTTTCAGACATACAGGGAATCACAGACTTAAAGAATGACAAACTTAGTTGGTCAAACCAAAACAATGTTATTAAAGCCCAAAACACCTGAGAGATTGTTACATATCCTTGTCTCAAAGCATTAAGGAAAACTTGGGCAGACGTGGAAGGCTATCAGGCGAAGCCCCCAAAATCAGTTAACCTCTGCTTCTCTTTTCTACTATCATTTTTGTTGTCAATGTTGTTGCCGCTCTTGTTGCTGTTTTAAGGTTATACACGTTTGAGGGACACTTCATACAGTGTACAGAAGGAACCTGAGATTATTTCTCCTGTTGTCACACCCCCAGGAAAAAGGGAGAAAAGGCAGGCATTAGCCACGACAGGGGGAGCTGGGACTCACAACTGACTCGTCAGTACTAGAGTGATGCGGACTTCTTTTCACGCAAAGTTTCTAAATATAGAACTGCTAATTTAACTCATGCTAATTTCTCATCAGATCTATTTATTTCAAGGGAAAAAATGTTTCAAATTAAAAATAAAAAAGTACTTATCCAAAGGTCCCACTCAAGTGACATGAATTCAGAGGTGGTGACAGGCCCTCAGTTCCTTCATTCATTTAAGAAATATTTATTAAAGTTACCACAATGAACAAGGCAGACACAGTCCCTCTCCTCCTGGAGGCCACATGTGTCTATCCCATGGGAGCAGACAGGCACCAGAGCACAGCACAGTACAGAACAGGGGCCAAGCAAGGGGCCTCTGGAGTCAGACTACATTGGTTCCACCCTGAATCAGCCACATACTACTCTCATCCTTGAACAAGTTACCTGATTCTCCAGGATCAGTCTTTCATCCATAAAATACATTAGTAATTATGGAGTGGAGGTAAACATGAGTCTACCAAAGCAAAGAGCTGGATGAGACAAGACCACAGACGGGGAGAGGGTAGTAGAAATGTGGCTGGACCAGATCATGAAAGGCCTTTTACAGAGGGTGAGCCCTTGCCAGGACTGTCCCAGGTTATCCCAGCATCCTGATTTAGCTTTTGTCCTGGATCATGTGTGTGTGTGTGTGTGTGTGAGGAAGACTGTCCCTAAGCTAACATCTGTTGCCAATCCTCCACTTTTTGTTTGAGGAAGATTGTCCCTGAGCTAACATCTGTGCCAATCTTCTTCTCTTTTGTATGTGGGATGCCACCACAGCATGGCTTGATGAGCAGTGTGTAGGTCCATACCTGGGATCCAAACCCACAAACTCCGGGCTGCCGAAGTGGGGAGTGCAAACTTAACCACTATGCCACTGGGCAGGCCTCTCCTGGATCTTTTTTGATTTAGCAAAATATTAACATGAGATGGGCTTAATTTGCCCTAGATTTAACTTGGAAATTTTGTAATCATGCTTTGGAAATATCTCATTTGTAGAAACAAACTTCTGTTCATTAAGTTAGTATTTTTTAAGGGATAGGCATAGTCTATACTGACATGAAGTGAAACTGAGAAACCCTGTGATATTGCAGCAACTAAATTTAATGAAACATTCAAAAGAACCATGAATAGAGACAATTTTCTTGACAAGTTTTGTGTTGCAAAAATACTTGTTAAAGATAGGTATGGTACTCTGCAGGCAAAAAGACAGATCCTGTAAAATGTTTGAGCTGAAACATTTTTACTTTTAACATGGAAACATTACTTTTAACATGGAAAAAAATGGAACAGAGAATATCCTTCATATAGCAGAATTTGCTCTTTTCTTACCATGTACCTCAGCTCATGCAGAGACAGTATTTTCTCAATTAAAAATATTATGGTCACTGTATATCAACAATGAACAAGTAGAATTTGAAATTAAAAACAATAACATTTACCTTAGCACACCAAAAACTTAAATACTTAGGTATAAATCTAACAAAATGTGTATAAGATCTGTATGAGGAAAACTACAAAAGTCTGATAAATGAAATCAAAGAAGAACTAAAGAAATGGAGAGATATTCAATGTTCATGAATAGGAAAACTCAATATTGTCACAACATCAGTTCTTCCCAACTTGATATATAGATTCAAGGCAATCCTAATCAAAATCTCAGCAAGTTATTTTATGAATATCAACAAACTGATTCTAAAGTTTACATGGAGTGGCAAAAGACCCAAAATAGCCAACACAATGTGAAGGAGAACAGAGTAGGAGGGACGATGCTACCCAACTTCAAGACTTACTATAAAGTTACAGCAATCAAGTCAGTGTGGTATTGGCAAAAGAACAGACGAGTAGATCAACGGAACAGAATAATGAGCCCAGAAATAGACTCCCATGAATATGGTCAAATGATATCTGACAAAGGAGTAAATGAAATACAATGGAGCAAAGACAGTCTCTTCAGCAAATGTTGATGGACTTGGACATCAACAAGCAAAAAAATGAAGCTAGACATAGCCCTTACATCCTTCACAAAAACAAACTCAAAACGGATCAACACTTAAGGTGTTTTATGTAAAACATAAAACTATAAAACTCCTAGAAGATAACATAGGAGAAAACCTAGCTGACCTTGGGTATGGCGATGCCTTTTTAGATACAACACCAAAGACACAATTCATGACAGATTTGATAAGCTGGACTTCATTAAAATTAAAAACTTCTGCTCTGCAAAAGACAATGTCAAGAGAATGAGGAGAAAAGCCACAGAATGGGAGAAAATATTTGCAAAAGACACATCTGATAAAGGACTATAATCTAAAATATACAAAGAACTCATAAGTCAACAATAAGAAAACAACTTGATTAAAAAATGGGCCAAAGCGGCCCTCCTCGCCATTTCTGTAATGGCTGCTTCGTGGAAGGCGGTGTCACGCAGAAGCTCTTAGTCTCAGCATCCGGAGCCCCAAGAAAGGAGTATTTCAAGTCAGATAGAATTAGACATATATCGTTTCTTTGAGACCTTCAGCCCTCAAGATCCAGCCACTTGAAGACCCCAGCATCATGACCTCAGTTTCAACTCAAGTGTTCTTAGTCCTCATTTCACTGCTTTTGGTGCTGCCTGTTGTTGAAGCAGTAGAAACTGGAGATGCAGTTGCTCTCTTGTTAGGTGTGGTACTCAGCGTTACAGGCATTTGTGCTTGTTTGGGGATATATGCACGAAAGAGAAATGGACAGATGTGACTTTGAAGAGCCTCCTAAATCAAACCTTGCCCTGAAAATCTTTGTGCTGTTGAGGCTAAAAACAGAGCTTTGGTGTCTAGAAGTTCCCAAGAAATAGTGAATAGGGTAAATTCACATTCTTAATTAACTGTTTCACTATAAATGGGAACAAATTGATATATGTTAAATGGAAAGAAAAGTTTCCCAACAAATGATGTACTGACAAATGCAGTCTATAATTTGTATTTGCTGCTTAGAAAGAGGATCAAAGTAAGAGGGCTGAAGTTTGCATATGTAACATTTCTTAGTTTCAGAATTCTCAAAGCACATGAAATAGGAAGAAGGAAGCTCTGGCCCAGAATCCTAGGAAATCACCACTGTTCAGTTGTAATCACTTCCCCCTGCATCTTTTTGGAGTCTTTTCTCCATATTTTTATTATATTTTTGTTTTTGTTATCTCCCAAGTTAATATTGTACGTAGATATGACATACAGTCAGACAGAAATTAAAATTTTATTTCTTTGGTGGGAAGAAGGATAAAAAATGTATTCAGTGTATCTAACAGTGAAATGGAGAAAAGATTTAATGTAAAAAAAAATACTTTATATTGACGTTGAAATGGAGTAGCGATTTAATGTTAAAAAAACTTTATATTAACTAACATCTCCATAGTGAGAAATACTATATTAAATATAAACCCATTATGTTGTAAAAAAAAAAAAAAAAATGGGCCAAAGCAATTAACAGACACCTCACCAAAGAAGATACACAGATGGCAAATAAGCATACGAAAAGATGCTCCACATCACAGGGAAATGCAAATTAAAACAACAACTTATTAGAATGGCCAAAATCCAAAACACGGACATCAACTGCTGGCCAGGATGTGAAACACCAGGAATTCTCAGTCATTGCTGGTGGAATGCAACGTGATACAGCTCCTTTGGAAGAGAGTTTGGTAGTTTCTTATAAAACTAAACATACCTCTACCATACAATCTAGCAATTACGCTCTTTGGAGCAATCACAAAAATCTACACACAGGTGTTTACAGCAGCTTTATTATTCATAATTGCCAAAACTTGTAAGCAACCAAGATGTCCTTCAGCCAGTGAATGGATAAACTATGGTACATATAGACAATGGAATATTATTCAGAGCTAAAAAGAAATGAGTTATCAAGCCATGAAAAGACGTGGAGGAACCTTAAATGCATATTACTAAGTGAAAGAAGCCAATCTGAAAAGGTTACATACTGTATAGTTACAACTAAATGACATTCTGGAAAAAGCAAAACTATGGAGACAATAAATAGATCAGCAGTTGCTGGAAGGTGGCAGGGAAAGATGAAAAAGCAGAGCACTGAAGATTTTTAGGGCAGTGAAAAATAGTCTGTATATTATAATGACGGATGTCATTATACATTTGTCAAAAACCCATAGAATGTACAACAGCAAGAGTGAATCCCCTAAGGTAAACTATGAACTTTGGGTGATTATGATGTCAATATTGCTTCATCCTTGGTAAAAAAAAAAAAAATGTACCATTCTAGTGAGTGATGTTGATAATGGGAAGGCTATGCATGCATAGTGGCAGGGGTAATATGGGAAATCTGCAAAAAAAATAAAATATTTTACTTATTTGAAAGTTCAAGTTGTCTGACTATCATATACATAATGACCATTGGTCAGACTACTTGAACACTCAAATAAATTATGGATAATAACCTACTGAACAAAACAAGAATCTATAAATTCATGCTACTGTCTAATTAAATAGACGACTAAATGAGGGAGAAAGAAAAGTTCTCCTTTACCATAGAATTCCAACTAATAAATGTAGAAGGAATCACGGAATTAGAAAATGTTATAACTATCAGGGTAATAATTGATTCAGGCAATAATCATCAATCTTGTTTGTACAAGCTGGGTGAGTGAGACTAGTGAGAAATAATAAACCGTTGCTGTTTAAACTACTAAGCTTTGGAGTGGTTCATTCACAGCGATCGATAAATGGAACACTTTTGGAATGAAAAAGATTAATGAGCAAAGCCTCCAGCCACGAGGGGCTGCTGAGCAACTGAAATGTACTGCAGACGTAAAACACACCCCATGCTGCTTAGACTCAAAACAGCAAAGAGAACGCAAACTCTCTCAGTAATAATTTTATACTGATTACACACTGAACTGATAATATTATGAATTATTGGGTTAAATACAGTATTAAAACTAGCCTCACCTGCTTCTTTTTATCTTTTTAATGTGGTTAGTAGAAAATGTTAAATTACATATGTGGCAACACTATCGTGTGCTTCTGTTGGACAGTGCTGGTTTAGAGGATGGAAGACAAACTTTTGCTTAGAAGCAATAAAACAAGAGATTGGACTGCACGTAATTTTTAAATTTTGTAAATAAAATAATTATAGATACTACATATAGTTTTGTAAAAGCTAACATATATTACCTGGTTTAATCGTCGCCATAATCCTATTAAGTATTATTACCCTTATTTTACAACTAAAACCCTCAGTCACAGAGACGCTAAGTGACCTGCCCAGGTCCCAGGGAAAGGAAGTAACGGAGCCAAGATGCTAACCCAGACACCCGGCTCTGGGGTGCGAGCTCTGGACCAGTGCTCTGCACTGCCTGCAGCACCTGAAGGGGGCTGTACTTCTGCTCCTTCACTCCCACCGTGGATTAGTGTGACAGTCCACAGCCCGGGCGGCCTCTCTGTGCAGGCCGACTTCGCCACCCCTCAGGCGCACAGGCTCAGACTCTCAGACCCTCCGCCCTCCTCAGCTTTGCGTCAGTCACCACCAGAACGCTTCTCCCAGCCTTACAGTAATACCGGAAGCGCTGCGGCAGCAGAGCTAGTTTTGTTTTTGTTTTGTTTTTGAGGAAGATCAGCCCTGAGCTAACATCTGCTGCTAATCCTCTTTTTGCTGAGGAAGACTGGCCCTGAGCTAACATCCATGCCCATCTTCCTCTACTTTGTATGTGGGAGGCCTGCCACAGCATGGCTTTTGCTAAGCAGTGCCATGTCCACACCCAGGATCCGAACCAGCAAACTTAGCCTCTGCGCCACCAGGCCAGCCCCAGAGCTAGTTTTAAAATAATTCATGTTATACAAGAACTCCTGAGAAGGATAAGAAAACTAGAAAATTTCCCAACTCATTTATCGCAATTCTTTTTTAAAGATTTTTCTTTTTCCTTCCACTTCTCCCCAAAGCCCCCCCCCCCCCCCCCCAATACATAGTTGTATATTCCAGTTACAGGTCCTTCTGGCTGTGGCGTGTGGGACGCCACGTCAGGGCCTCACGAGCGGGGCCATGTCCGCGCCCAGGATCCGAACCGGCCAAGCCCGGGCACCGCGGCCGAGCGCAGACCCAACCCTGCGGCCGCCGGGCGGTGAGATCGCCGGTCTTCACACTACAGTTTTCACACATTTCAGGTTAATTTCAAGCTCTCAAAAATCCCTCTCCAAAGGAAAGTTAACCCATAACCCCTCCGTCGAAGGCTGGCTCCCGGCGCGGGGTTGGGGGAGGGCGCGGCCGGCCGGGGACGAGGAGGGGGCCGCAGCCAGGCGCTCGACGGGGCGGGGCGGGGCGGGGCAGGGCGGACCCCCACCCCGGGCGGCGCGTCTCCAGCGGGGCGTCTCCAGGGCGCCGCCAGCGCCCGGCCGCTCGGGAAGGCGTCAGTCGAGCCTGCAGGCTGCGTCTGGGCGGCACGGCACCGCCGCCACCACGAAGTCCACGCCGGGTGCAATCAAAAACACCGAACTGCAGGGAGCTGGGTCCCAACAAACCTGCCTGCTTGACTACTGAGTTACTCATTTTCACTTCAGGATAAGTCACGGGGCTGCCTCCTTTGTCAGTCCAGTGACTGGAGGAAACCATGTGCTTCCTTTCCAGCGCGGCGGACACAGCCTACCTCCCACCAGCGGCAAACCCACCAGATGGAGTGTGTGTGGTGGCGGCGGCGGCGGCGGGGGGCGGTCACAGACATAATTTATTTTTGTCTAAGTAACACCAAACAAGGAGAAAGTGGAGGGCAGCTGTGACTGTACAATCCAAGTAAATCCAGTAGGTTGATTAAGTGCAGGGCAAGCATTTTAGCAATTCAAAACAAGCTACCCAGATTTGAAATGCAGGAAATCCCACTTCATAGTAGAAATTTTATTTTTTTTTAATGTAGCTCTTAATAGAGCCAAATCTTTGAGGGGTGTCCTCATTAGAGAGAAACTGGAAGGAGGGGGTGACTGCATGTCCACGTCCCACTGCTTGACGTGTGACCATGTCCGTTCGAAGACCCAGGAAAGACCCAGAGCCGGAAACAGAAGCTGTACCCGAAGCAGAGCAGCCCGCCCACCCCTAACTCCGGCCGTCTCTGGGCGGGACGCTGGAGAATATGCAGAGAGATTCAATTTAAGGCCCGTCACAGCTCTCCAGTGTCCTCATTAAAAGGTTAACATTTTTTTCGACTTGTCTTCCCTCTAAATTTACAAATGCAGCTAGGAATTTCCTAGGCACTTATTAAGTCTCATCTGAAAGTCCTAACATTCTAGCAGTAATTTACACCGCCAAAACATGACCCTGGGTGTGGGCTGGTGGGAGTGTGGATGAAGAATAGTAGCCTCTTTCTCTGCTGTTGCTAGGTTGAGGATTAAATAGTATTTGCAAACTGGCGTGAACATTTTTTATCCCTTTTGGAGAGGCTCCGCTTAGACTCAGGAGAGAGTCCCCACCTCTGCAAACCGTAAGGCACCCTCTGACTTGAGACACACAGGCCTTCTCAGCGTTAATGCAGACAACTGCAAAGCTCAGAATGCTGCTTTACGTTGAACCAGAGGAAGCCAATCTTAAAACCCTTTCAGACGTCTTCTCCTTCCCAACACCACTGAAGCCACTCAAAAGAAACCTTGTTTTAAGGCTTCACGCTTGGCACAGGCCTCAGAGCTGGCCGTTTGATTTACAAATAGAGTCAAAGCTATTTTTAAATTGTATAATAAGCATACACAAAAACTAACCTTTCCTTAACTTTTCAAACACACTCTATAATACCATATGCTGCCTCTTCTGACATCTGTGCTCACCAAATAGCTCAGCGGAGAGTCACGGAAGGGAAGGAGTCGTGTGTAACTGGAAGTCCAGCTAGGGGCAGAAATATTCTCTATAAAAGAACATGGATTTCCACCATATATATGCCTGACTTAGTACTGACTGCCTAATTCTTTCTGGCAGCTCTCTGCTATTCAGCGATATAC